GAGAGAGAGAGAGAGAGAGAGAGAGAGAGAGAGAGAGAGAGAGAGAGAGAGAGACTTATCTTGCTCTGGGACAGGGAACAGGCTTTCTCTGTGCAGGGTCCTCTGCACATCAGAGATAGGTTTACTTATCTCTAGTATAACTGTTGGGAATCATGGCTTGTAGTTCTCTAGATTAAAAGGGATGGAGTGGAGAGAAAGGATGCTTGCCTAGAGGCCTCAGTGTGGTGAGGGGCTGGGCTACCTGGGAATGTCTGAAGCCCGCCTTCTACTTCCTCCCCATCCTCACCCTCCATTCTCAGGAGGTGGGAGTGGGGTAGAGGGAGTGCTCCGAGGCAGAAATAGTGGTGATGGAGGTCCATCCCAGGTCCTGATGCATCATCCACTGTCTCTCACACATCATCTGCCTCTATCATCCCTGAAGCCCTGGAAGTCATGAGGAGATGCTAAGCCGAGGAACATGAATCGAAGTCTGGGGACTAGTGGAGAGGAACCTGAGAGAGAAAAAGCCAGGGAAGATTTAAAGGAGGGCACAAGATACATCTGCCCTCTCCCGACTTCCTGCCCTCAGGATCCCGCCCCTGCCCTTTCCTGGTACAACACCAAGCCCTTGATGAAGACTGAACCTTCACGTTAAGCCCAGTGCCTGCTATGGCTCATCTCCCAGTTCCTGAAGACCAGTAGAGTTGACATTTCTGAGAAACTGCCAAGAGGGGGTGGAGTGGGAACTGGGGAGCAGAAAGACCCTGTTCTCTGGGATCTTTGTTCATATCTTGTCAAGGGAGGACATTCTAGAGTCTTGCTGTCTCCATGCTCCTCCCTTCCTGCCTTTCCCTATTCTGAGGATTTACTTCCTCGGCCTAATTGGTGGCTCTCTCAGCCAGTTTGAGGGTCACGCAAGTGTGGTACCACCCGGCACATTGCTGTTTCAGTTCATTTTGCCCAGATCACGTGTCCAGGCCACCTTGAAACCGGTCAAATGCCCAACCACCTTTCCTCAGCCTGAAAGCCTACCCTATCTCAAACCCTCCAGCCCCCGAGAAAAAAGTGTGTGGCAGGACTAGGCTTTTCTAGACCCCTGGGAACCCAAATCCACTGGCCTCTAGTACCCCTTCTGAAGAGGAATTGAGTATATTCTGGGTTGGGGATAGGAACCCTCCCCCAAGAGTTTTAGACCCTTCAATGCAGGAGCATCAGTGGGGGGTGGGGGACCCCCAGGCAACCTGAACCTACCCAATCCTAGGAAACACCCAGTTCTTACCCACCAAATATGTCAGATGGGTTTCCATCCTGCAAATAAGGTCAAAATGATTCTACAGTGGGATGGGAATGGCTCTGGGCCAGACTGCCCTCGGAGGAGCTAAGAGGTCACAAGAATCAAGAAGAAGAGGAAGTTTCTGAATCAAAAAGTTCAGATGAAAAGCGATTGGAAGGAACCCAGCCATGAGAGTTCAGATTGTCCCCATCCAGATGCCCTCCTAGGACTCTACACTGTGCAATGGAGACATTCACATCCTAGCCAGCTGGCCCGGGGACTTTTCAGCTGGAGCTGGAGGCAGCTAGACCCTGGAGTCTCCTCCACCTCCTTGGAGGAACATCTACTGAAACACCATGCATCCATTACCACTGAATTAATTGCTCACTGCTTACAAGACCAGGACCCAGCCTTATTCCATCTCCAATGGAAGGGATTATTCTGACAAAAATCTGTTCGCCTTCTAATTTAGGGAATATCCCAAACAAAGAGGAGGAATAAACATCCCATGAATTGTCATGGATTTGTGTTCTAAGGGGACCCTACAGACCCAAATGAAACAAACTGTTTCTTAGCAAAGGATAATAATAGTTCACTTAACTCATCCTCCAGGCCCCATCAGATTCACTCAGGTTGTTTGGGTGCATGCACCCCGTTCATTTCCATGTTCTGGTAAGAACCACCAGCCATCCGCTCTCAAGCCAGAGTTCCTTCCCAAGAACATGGTCTGGGTCTGGCACCACTCAGTATGACTAACCTTGATCACTAGTTTGGATGGCTTTTGTCCCATGGGACGGCTACTCAGTCCCTAAACTTCAGAGAGTGCATCTGCTGTAGAAGAGTCTTCCACAGTCCCATCAACCTGGTTGAGCTGAGATTACTCATTTTGGGTTTTACATTCTGTCCGTGCCCACTGTCTCTAATAACAGGAACAATAACTATGACTATAAATACCATAAACCCTTACACTGCCTGGTTCCCAGCTAAGCTTTATTCATTTGTTACTTTACAACTTCCGGGGTAGTTATTACTAATAGCCCTCATTTTACAATAAGGAAAATGGGGAACAGAGATGGTCAGGAGCCCATCTAAAGTTGCACAGCTTGTCTGGAATTAACCAGGACCGGAACACTGTTGTTTCCTGACTCAAGCCTGTGCTCTTATTCTCTGAGACTCTGAACCAGAGGTCTCTACAGGCTCTGTGAACAGGTTTCAGGAGTTCTGAGGATTCCAGACACTTCGTGCAAACTTCGTCAGCAAGCCCGAATGAACACATTTCCCCCCCTGTGGCTAATATTATATAACCCAGTGGATTCTCAAAAGGATTGGAGATCCAGAAAAGGCAAAGGGCAGAAGGAGGCCAATGGGGAAGTGGAGGGGAGCTACCTCCTCCCAGGCCTAGGAATTAAGAAGCCAGCTGCTCCAGAACACAGTCTGGGCTCCAAGCCTGCTTCTGAACTTGCCCTGCGCTCTCCCCTTGCTAGGCACAGCTCTTCTGACCTCTGCCTGTGGAGTGTGTGGTGTCTGTGTGTGTGTCTGTGTGTGTGTGTGTGGGGTCTGGGCCATTCTTTGGGGAGTACACACTACTGCTCACTCCTCTCCCTTCTTTGGAGGAAGGAATTCCTTTAGACCACTGTGTCAAGGCATTTCTGCCTCGTGGGTGGAGGGACGGAATGTCTTTCGGAAGTATGGAGGAAACAGACACAGAACCAAATGGCCGAGGCAGGCTGGCATGGAAGAGCTCCCCAGAGACGCTGAGGTCTGCTTGGTGCCCAGTCTCTGCAGCCTCCAGAACAGAGCTCTCTCTCTCTTTTTCATCCAGGGTCAGAATGGCCTCTGTCCCTTCTCTTCCTGGCAACTTTTCCTACGCTACTGCCCAATTCATCACCTTGGGGAAATCCTCCCCGCCCTATCCGGCTCCTCAGAAGACCCCCTGGGGGGTCACCGTCTCAGACCAGACACGTGGCAGTGGTTTGTGTCAACTCTTCTGCCTCTCTCTCCATCTGGTCATGAACTTGAGGAGGACAGGACCACCATCTCTCTGTGTGCCCCATGCCAGCCAGGCATATACCAAGAGCTCCTCGGGCATTTATTGAGTAAATAAACTAAACGGATAAGAGACAAAGAGAGCCAGACAGAGAACTGGCTCAGTCTTTGTCTCCCCCCACCCCCCAGAGAGGGCCAAGGGTGCAGGAGAGGGGAGGTTCGTTGTTTTTGTCAGCTGCATGCAGATGTTTGAGGTGCTCTGAGGCTCACACCTCCACACTGGCAGAGGTGCACAAAGACTTCATTCTTTAACGCTGTTTGCTGGGGGTGGGAGTGCTGGGATCTGGATCCAGCTGTGGTCCGACTAATAATGGGACTTCCTTGCATTTTGTTTTGTTTTAAACAGGATTGATTCTCTGCCACACGACGGGTCCAGAAATGGAGAGGAAGAAAGGACTGAAGAGCAGGAGTGAGGAGCAGACGGGAGGGGTAGAAAACAGGCCCATTGCACCCCAAGGGCCCTAGGGTCTGTGAAGAGGGTAAGGGAACCTGTGCGTGTGTATACACACACACACACACACACACACACACACACACACACACACACACACACACACA